ACCCTGTCTGCTAAGGAGTCTGCTGCTGGGGAATGTTATCCCCTGTGCGTGGCATGTGTGGGGGTTGCAGCGTTCAGATTCTGCCGCCTTCCCTGCCATGCCTCCCTGGGGCTGGGACAGGATCTGAGCCTTGTCGGGTGGGAGGGCCAGGGCAGGACATGCTGCTCCAAAGCAGCTTCCTGTGCCATGTTGCTGCCCTCCAAGGTTGCTTCAGGGCATGAGGTGACAGCTCCCTCAGGGTGGGAGGAGGGGCTTGGGGGTGAGGGAGGGAGTGGGTGGAGGGTGGTGAGGATGGCTCCGTTCCCAGGCCCTGATGCGCCACAGGCAGGGAGTGCTCCCCAGCACAGCCTTGTGTGGGGCTTGACTTGGGCCGCATACATCCCAGTCTCCTGGGAGAGCTTGTCGTAGCAGGGGGCACCTGTGTGCCCAGACACAGGGGTGTGGCCAGCAAGGCCCTGGAGATGGAGGGTGGGTGAGGGGCTGCAGGTCAGCGTGAGAACTCTGAGCACAGGCGTGACAAAGGCCGGCTTGGGTTTTCTCAGGCTCCCTCTGGTCACTGAGAACAAACCTCAAGGAGAGAGGGTGTGGGGGAGCCAAACGGCAGCACGGCGGTCACTGGGGAGAAAGAGTGGAGCTCTGTGTGGATTTTGACCCACTGGGGTGGGTGTGAGAGGGAGAGAACAGTCTAACGTGTCTCCCAGGTCAAGCTGAACACCTGGGAGGATGGGGGGAGCAGGAAAACGCCTGCTGGCCACGTAGGGGTGTCCACTGCAACCGGAGGGCCAGGGAGAAGCCCTGGCTGGGGATAGACATGATCGACATGAGAAAGCATGACACCGGGAGACAGAGAAGAGAAGGTGTGTGGACGGAACTGGGGTTCCTGGCACATAGTAGGAGGGAGCGAGGAGGTGGGGAGAGGCCTTTGGAAATCAAAGGCACAGGGTTCCTGGAAGCCAAGGCATCCCAAGGAGTAGGGGATGGTCGTCTGGGATTTGGTGTCCTGTGGCTCATGGAGTGGCAGGAGAAGCTATGTGAAGAGCCTGGTGCGGGGCCTGGAGAAAGCCGTACAGGGAGCACAGGATAGGTGGGGGCGAGAGTGGAAGTGGGGTTGAAGAATGAAAGAATGAAAATAACACATGTGCATGTGAGTGTGTGGTTTGTGCATGTACATGATGCACAGACGTGCCTGTGCACATCTTGTATACCATGTATGGACTTGTGTGTGTGTGTGTGTGTGTGTGTGTGTGTGCTCATGTGCAGCACACTGATGGACCACAACGCTGACGATGCAGGAGAGACCCAGTGGAGCCGTGGCTCTGAGGAGGCCGGCAGGGATGGAGCCCTCAGCCAAGGGCATGGACAGTTCTTCCTGGGGAACAGCGCACTGGGCACGGATGCAGGTGAGGACACAAGGTAAGGTGCGTCTGAAGTCTGAGGCTTCCATTTTCAAGATCATCCACTGAGAGTGAGACCAGTGGAGGGCAGGCTGCAAGGTTTTCATTGTCTGAGCAACAGAGATCGTCCCTGATGGGGGCCCGGCTGCTCCCAACGAGGCCCACAGCGGCTGTCGTCCCAGCAGGGGTGCTCGGCGGCCTGGCCTGAGAGCAGTTCAGTGGGCGCTGCCGCCGAGGAGGCGGGGCGGGAGCCCCCCAGAGGAGTGGGCAGGGCTCCGGTCAGCCCAGCCAGGTTCTCCTCAGCTCTGGTACCCAGGCCGAGTGACTCTGCCTGCTGAAGCTCCGGCCTCTGTGAAATGAGTCAGGTGTATTTTCATATCTCAAAAGGAAGGTGTCCCAGGGGGGCAGGGCCAGCGTGGGAAGAGACCAGGACCAGGAGTGAGGATGGAGACACCCCTCCATCTGTCTGCATGTCACCAGGGCCCTGCGTTCCACCAGGCTGGGCCTGACCCAAGGCCACCCGGCCTCCGAGGAGCTGCAGCACGAGCGCTGCCCCCACTCCCCCAGGGCTAGCCTCACCCCACCTGCTCTGGGCCCAGCTCCACTCCAGACTCGTTCTTTCATCCAACTGGTCCTTCGAGGCTCCACTTAAAATGCCAGGGCAGACCAAAGCCAGGCTAAAACTAGGTGAAGACAGTGGCATCCTGGGACCCAGAGCCCCACATACACAGCCATGGAATGACGTCCAGAACACAAAGAGAGCCCTGCAACCCAGGGACATTGACGCGGGAGGGAAATGGACAAGGGCTGTCAACAGGCAACTCACACGTGGCCAGTATTCAGCTCTGTACAAAATCAGCAGGTGCACAACCTCTGGGACTGCCTGTCGGCGAGCGGAGAGGAGCCTGGCAGCCTGTGCTGGTGCGGGTGGGAGTCAGGCCCTCGCACCCTTGCGCACGGCAGCACCGTGGAAGGCCGCACCAGTGGGGAAAATGCCCACACTCTTAGGTCCAGAAGTATTTTTGGTAGATATCTTATCCCAGATAAGTATTTGTCCACATGCCATGTTCCATGTTTGATGCTCCCTATTGTGGTTTTTATTCACTTGCTTAATTCTTTAAAGTTGTATAAAGAAGTCAACCTTAATTGTATATTTTATTTCTATTTCATAGTTCAGCCTTACAAAGAGAACACAGGTGACTACCAAGTGCCAAAGAGACAAAGTCACTACTGCATTTTAAATATTGAGAAGCTGGAAACCACGTAGGTGGCCATCCAAAGGGCAACAGGTGGAATGGAATGACCGCCATGCATCCTTTCCAGTTGTGAATGGCTCCCACTCCTCTGCTGGGCTCACAGAGAGGACTCCAAGCCTGGAGGCGAGGGACCATTCCCTCACATGCCCTCCCAGGGGGAGAGCTTTGAAGTCTGCGTCCTTGTAGGACCCTGTGTCCAGCCTTGCAGGATCTCAGGCTTTCTCAGGTAATGAGTTGGTGAATTCTCTGTTTGGCATAAGCCAGGAAGTCCTGACTCATAGGAGTACTTACTTACCTGGAACAGAGCCTGTCATCCCCATGTAATTGTAACAACATCCCCTTCACTCTCAACAGGTCCTGCTTGAGATGGTAAATCACATGGCTGCCCTAAGTAACGCACATGCAGGTATCACGCAGCATTTGTCAGGTGGCAGGAAGAGTGACATCTGCCACAGAGAGCCATCCTGAGGGGTAGCTGAGGCCTCCTGGGACACAGCTGTGCGTGGCACAGGGCTTGCCTCAGTAACTGAGCTGCTAGGATACATTTTTAAACATTTCAACATAAAAATGTTTTTAAAAAGCTTATATATTGTTTTAGAAATACTGGAAGCCACACACTTGTCTGTTGGCAGCATCCACCCTTGAGAGAGTCAGCAAGGAGGAGGAAGGATGCTTTTGGTTTTTATTCTCTGTATCTTTCTGTGGTTTGAATCTTTCACAACGGAACACATTCAAATATTTGTATAATTAAGGTTGGCTTTGAAAAAGGTTGGTTCCATTAGCAAACTGCCATCTCCTGGCCAATATCTCATTGACTTGCCCAGTGAAATAGGTTGGATTGTCGGCCCACTTTATAAGTAGGGAAACAGACTCAGAGAAAAGACTGGGCTTTGCTGACAGATGGAACCTATAAGCTTCACCCCATCCCAAGAAGGAAAGGTTTTGGTTTCATGAGCTCCTAGCCCCTGGGGTTTTCAGATTCCTTTGTATTAGCTGATGAAAGCTATGGTTCCCACCCCCCAACCAGAAGTGTCTCCCACTCACAGGGTGGGGGTCCTCAGATGCAAGTTTGGATGGTGGGTTGGGGCCCCTCCATCCCTGACCAGGGGAGTCAGGTAGTCATCCAGCACTTCTAAGCAGCTTCATTATTTCTTTAACCAACAGGCCCTTGGGCCTGTTGTGAGGACCAGTGGTGAGCTGACCAGTGGTGAGCTGGCAGGAGAGGCTTCCTGGAGAATGAGGCCACCTGGGATGAGGAGTCTGCTGCATCCCTTTCACCCTCAGTCCAGTCCTATGGGTTCTGTGTCCAAACACCCTGACTCCACTCACTGCTCCATCCACCTGCCAGGGCCAGGCTGCCCCAGACTCCAGTGGCTCCAGGCGCAGCCCCAGCCCTCTGCAGCCTGAAGGATCCGTCAAAGCCAAGTCAGCCCACCTTACTCTGCTCAGCCATGCTGCTCATCTCAGACTAGAACCCCTGCTCTGCCTCAAGGCTAGACCCCTTCACATTCCACTGGGAATCTTGGCCTTAGGGCATCAGGGCCCTTGCACATGCTTGTTCCCTCTGCCCAGACCACTGGTCTCAGAAGTCTGGATGGCTCATTTCAGGTGTTCCTGGCTAAAGGAGCTCCCCCAGCCTCTCTGTGCCCCTACATTGTGTCCTGCGTTCCTGGGGGTTTCTCCTCTGTCAGCACCCAGGGTGGGGCCTCCTGTTCCTGTGGGAGGAGAGTAGGCAGGTCAAGTGCTGATGACTAAGCAGAGAAGGAGTCAGTCAGGCCGGATGGGTGGGGTCAGGGTGTGATAGGGTGGGGAGTAGGCAGAGGTGGGGGCCTGGCAGGCTGGTGACCCCATGGGAAGTGTGGGTGGGTCCTGAGGCCTGTGGCCCTGGCGGCCCGGGAGCAGGAAGCTGCTTGATTCATGCGGGCCGCACCAGGGTCTGGTCACCAGGAAGCTCTGAGCACAAAGGGGAGCCGCAGGGAGCCCAGCCCAAGGCTCGGCTCACAGCAGTGCAGGACACAGACCTGGCTCCGCCAAAAGGGGCATGGCCGGCTCGGGCCTCTGGAGCCGGGCATCTGGAGGGAAAGGTGGCAGGCGCAGGAAGCTGGTGAGGAAAGCGGCTCTCGCACTCGCCCTTGCTCTGACCCAATGCCTCGGCCTGGATTGCTTCCTGGCTGTCTGACCGTGAGCAGTCACTGCCCCCGGAAGTGTCTGGCCGAGCAGGCCTTGAGCCCCGCTGCCGCCGAGGACGTAGCGGGGACTACGGGTCGGGCCAGGGGCAGCCTCAAGCTGCGTCTGTACCTCCCACCTTATTTTTCACTGTCCCCTCCGGTAAATAGTTGGGATTAGCGGTGAAGGGGAAACCGAGGCCTTGGGGAGTGGGGCGCTGGGCCTGGCCCAGGTCACACAGCTCGGAGGCGTCCTCATAACCGCGACCTGTGTGTGCCAGTCGTGTGCAGGAACACTCCCCCTTCCAAAACCCTGAGGCATCGGGGCCTGGATCCCGCGTCCACACAAGCACTTTCTCTGGCAAAGTGAGGCTCTGGGAGGCGCGGCCACTTAGCAAAGGGCAGGTATAGGGAAGGACGGGACATTGACTTGGTTTATGCGACCCGTCGGGACCAGGGCCTGGCGACGGTGGTTCCCTTATCGGACCTAACCGCGCAGACCTGGGGAGGTGAAGGCGAGAAACTGCCGGAGCCAGTGTGGGCCCGGCCTCAGTTTCCCCATTGGCTCGGGGGACCAGAGCCGCAGGCGGGCGCCGCGTTCCGCCGCAACACGCGCCACCACTCAGAGCGGGTGGACACTGCCCCCTGGCGGCCGCGCGCGCCACGGCAGCCAGCAGCCCGTCAAGCGGCCAGCGCTTCGCGGTCCGGAAGCCCCACGTCGCCAGGGCACTTGCCCGGGCGACGCGGTCCGCGGGCTTGGGTCTCCACCCCGGTCACCACTCGCTACGTAGCCTCCGCTGGCCCCCTGCCACTCTGGGTCTCAGTCTCCGTCGTGAAATAGCCACATTCCCCCTACCCACGGCTGCGGCCGCCCAGCTTCTGCGGGATGCCGGGATCCTGCCAAGCGCCCGCATGCCCGGCCCCCGCCCTCGTGGGGCGGGGCTCGGGCTTCCCGCTACCCCGGTCAGCCAATCAAAGCTCCCGGGTGTAGCGGATTGCCCGTCGGGGAGGGGCGGGAGGTACCAGGGTGGGCTGCGCCTGTATTCCGGTTCCGCTCGCCTCCCCCTCCCGCGGAGCGAGTCCAGAGGGTCGTCCGACAGCCGCAGGGCGCCAGGTAGGGAGGGCAGGTCTCCGAGCCGAAGAGTCCGAGAGGTGCTTCAGTTTCCTTATCTTCGAAGAGGGGACGGTCGCCGCCTCCCGGACCCGAACAGGTGATAGTCTCGAGGGCATCTCCCCGCCTCTCCCCTGCCCAAGCCCTCTGCACAGCCCCACCTCTGCCCTGGGACTAGGCCTGCGCACCTGCTGTCCCCTCCGCCTGGAATGCCATCCGCACAGCCGAGCCTGCTCGTGCAAGCGGCCTGTGTCTTCCCAGGGGCTCTCCTGACCCCTGCTACCGGCCCTGCCCCAGCACGCCTTTCCCACCCCCCGCCACGCAGACACACGCAGGGGGATGTTCATGAGGCTCTGTAATGTGGGATGCGCCCAGGGTTCAACATGCTCCAGCCCGTTTTACAGATGCACACACTGAAACCAGAGTGGTTTTAGAAGCTGGCCACTAGGCGCATAGCTGGGAGGCAGCTGGTGTCACTGTGTCCCAAGCCTGTCCTCAGCTCCTACTGCTGGGATCCCCTAGAACACACTTGGCAGAGCCACTGAGAATCCAGTGCTGTCTGGGTGGGGAGATCAGAGATCTCCAGGGAGCCTTTCCTCACTCTGCCAGCCCTTGTCCAACGGGGAGCTAAGGCTCTGGAGGGGTAGGGAAGGCCCTGCCAGGTACTAAAGTCCTAAGCTTTCTTTGATGCCCTCTGTGGAGGGAGCACAGGACTGGGCTCCCAAGTCACTAAGGCCAGGGAGAGGATTCCAGGCCCCAAGGAGGGTAGTGTTCAGGAGGATTGCCCATCTCCAAGAGTGATGGACAGGAAAGAGGGTAGCCGGGGGGTGGACTGCAGTTACTATGCCAAAAAACCCTTAGAGACAGGTTAGACTCCCACGGGTGTATCAGCTCCCACTGCTTGAAACAGCAGCAGTGCTTTCTTTTTCTCACATCCTCCACATCAACTGGACAGTTCTTCTGCTTTGTGTGGTGTCAGCTGAGATCATTTCTACAACTTCAATTAGCTGGAGGCTCAACTGAAACATCCAAGTGGCTGCACCCCCACGGCTGCAGTTGGTATCTGTCAGCTGGGAGCTCGGGGCTGCCAGCATGATCTGTCATCCCAGATACTTTGGTTCCCCTCTACCTGGCCTCCCCACGTGGCTAACTTGGGCTTCCTCACAGCATGGCAGCTGGGTTCTGTGGCTGACAAACTCCAATATGCAAGATCTTATCAAACCTCTACTCCCATCGCACTTGCTGATATTTCATTGTCCAGAACAAGAGACATGGCCAAGTCCAGTGTCAGTGTGGAATGAGACTTTGGGTGTGACTACCAAGAAACATGGTTCACTGGAGGCAACCAGTGTTAGAGCTTACCATGGCAGGAAAGGAACAAAAACAGGAGACGAGAAATCTCCAGGGGCCAGAATAAGCACGGGTGGCTCCTGAAGGAGGAAGGGCTTGGAAAAGAAGGTCTGGGAGCTCTGTTCTTCCCACTCCCATCCTGGTGCCCTCGAAGGCTGGGGGATAACCAACCATTAAGTAAAGATATAAATTGGAAAAGTGTCTGATTGGATATAAGTGTTCTGTTAATGAAAAAAGGGTGGTGATGTGATGCTAATCACCAGGGAAATGCAAATTAAAACCACAGTGAGATATCACCTCACTCTAGTCAGGATGGCCAACGTAGAAAAGACTAGGAACAAATGTTGGTGAAGATGCGGAGAAAGGGGCACCCTCCTACACTGCTGGTGGGAATGTAAACTAGTTCAACCATTGTGGAAAGCAGTATGGAGGTTCCTCAAAAAACTAAAAATAGAAATACCATTTGACCCAAGAATTCCACACCTAGGAATTTACCTAAAGAAAACAAGATCCCAGATTCAAAAAGACAGATGCACCCCTATGTTTATTGCAGCACTATTTACAATAGCCAAGATACGGAAGCAACCTAAGTGTCCATCAGTAGATGAATGGATAAAGCAGATGTGGTACATATACACAATGGAATATTATTCAGCCATAAGAAGAAAATCCTACCATTTACAACAACATGGATGGCGCTATGCTCAGTGGAATAATTCAGGTGGAGAAAGACAAGTACCAAATGATTTCCCTCATTTGTGGAGTATAACAACAAAGAAAAACTGAAGGAACAAAACAGCAGCAGACTCACAGAAGGAACTAGCAGTTACCAAAGGGAAGGGGGTGGGAAGGGAGGCAGAAGGGAATTAAGAGGCATTATGATCAGCACACATAATGTAGGGGGGTCATGGGGAAGGCAGTATAGCACAGAGAAGACAAGTAGTGACTAGCATATTACTACACTGATGGACAGTGACTGCAATGGGGTCGGGGGGGACTTGATAATATGGGGGAATGTAGTAACCACAGTGTTGCTCATGTGAAACCTTCGTAAGACTGTACATCAATGATACTTTAGTTTTAAAAAAGGGTGATGTGAGGGAGGAACAACCTAAGACAGGCACAGTCGCAGGGGGGCCATCAGGTGAGAAATTGGGGATCAACAGAGGTGAGGCTTAGAACCTCACCCCCCGTTTTGAGAGAAATCTTCTGCATCCGTGGATGTTTTATTGCCCTTGTCTAGCTCGGATTAGCACATAGTCTACAGGCACACACCTGATCATCTACATTTGCTCTCTTACAACACTAAACTATGCTTTCTACCTTTATCTTGCATCTACCTACCACTTCAGCATTTTATTAAAAATAATAATAATAATAATAAAGGGAGAAATGTGGGATCTACATATAAATCAAGTATAAAAATCAAACGAATATTCATATTTGACCTGATTGTTTGTAGTTCATAATGCGTGATCAAAACCGAAAGTTTCTGTGATGACTGCCCTTGTACTGTTCACCATGTAAGAACTTATTCACTATATAAGAATTTGTTCTCCATGTAAGAACTTGTTCGTTATGCTTCAGAAGATTGGAGACTGACGAAAATTAGGCTTGGGGTGGATTAAGGATTGTGTATTGAGCATTGACTCCCCTATACAGAATTTTATTGTTGTTGACAACCATTTGATCAATAAATATGAGAGATGCCCTCTCAAAAAAAAAAAGGGCTGCTGCTCTAGATGAAGTGATCAGAGAAGGCTTCTTGGAGGAGGTGACATTTAGGCTGAGCTCTAACCGACAGGGGTCAGACTTGAGGAATGCAGGAGGAAATGAATTCCAGGGAGAGGGCACAGAGAAAGCAAAGGCCCTGAGTTGGTAATGAACTTGGCACATTTGAGCATTACAGAGAAAACCAGGGTGGCAGGAGAGGAGTGAGCAAGGAGCAGGGTGGGCAAACCCAAGTCATGTTAGGCCTTGTAGATTGGACTTTGTCCAGGTGCAGTGCAGTGCCACCAGAGGAACAGTATGACTGAATCCCAGGTGCATCTACTAAGCACTTATTGTATGTCAGGCACTGCTGGAGGCCCCTGGAACTCATCGGTGAACAAAACAGAGAAACACCCCTGCCCTCATGTAATGTGATCTGATTTGCAAATTGAAAAAAAAAAAGAGAGAGAGAGAGAGACTACTTAAAGGGTTCAAAAGCAGGATGCCTGAGTGGAAGGAGAAAAAACCGAGGATGTGAACTGTCAGGCCCAGGAATTGGGAGGTGAGGGAAACAAAGGTAAATTCAAGAATGAGCTTGGAAGATAATCTTCATGACCTTCACTGAGGCAAAGAGATTCTAAGTATTTTTTTCTCAAAAAGAAAAAACTGATAAATCGGACTTTATAAAATTAAAAACAGTTGTACTTCAAAAGATAGGATGAGAAGATAAGCCACAGACTGAAGTAAAATATTTGCATATCATATATGCAGAATATATCAAGAATTCTTAGAAGGTAATACATATAACCCAGTTTTTAAAAGGGACAAAGATTTGAGCAGATATCTCACCAAAGATGCACAGGTGGCCAATAAACACAGGAAAAGATGTTCAACATCATTAGTCATTAAGGAGTAGCTAATTAAAGCTACAATGAGCTATCACTACGCACCTATTAGTATGTCTAAAATTTGAAAGATCAACCTCACCAATTGTTGACAAGGATGTGGAGCGACTAGAACTCTCATGTGTTGCAGGTGGGAATGTAAGTTGGTGTGGCCACAGTTGAAACAATCTGGCAGTTTTTTACACTTCCTGCATGACCCAGCAATTCTACTCTTAAAATGTCCACTCAAGAGAAATGAAAAATGTTAAATTCACACAGATCTGTCCATGGGCATTCATAGCAACATTATTCATAAGAGCCAAAAAATGGAAACACATGTCTACATGTCCATTAACTGGTTAATGGATCAGTAAATCATGGTCTAACCATAAAATGGAAAATTATCCAGCAATAAAAAGGAGTGAACTACTGACACATGCCACAACATGGGTGGGCCTCAAAGCCATGACCATAAGAAACCAAGCACACCTACAGCCGACAGGAATTGTATTGTGCGCTCAGCTTTGTGTTAAGAGGGTCCGTCTACTGATACGTGCCCTTATCACAATAAAATAAACTTAAAAAGAGAGAAACCAAACGCAAAAGACTACGTATTGCATGATTGCATTTACACCAAGTGCACAGAGGCAAACATCTGGATGCTGGGAGCCGACCCATGGTTGCCTGGGGCTGGGAGTAGGAGCGGGGAAGGACCGCCAGGGGGAGCAAGGGACTCGGCGGGACGACGAAAATGAGCTGAAACTGGGTTGTGGTGAAGGTTATGGGACTATAAATTTACTAAAAAACACAACTTGTGTCCTTAAAACTGGGGGCCTTTCATAGCCTATAAACCATACGTCAGTAAGCTGTTACAGAGCAGGAAAGGAGCCGGCCCTGGGGAGCCTGAGCCTTCTGGGTTTCTGCCCCCTCTCCCCTGGGACTGCACAGCGTCGCGGTGCCGGGGATGCCACCCGTATCCCTTGGGCATAGAACCCCAGCCCGGATGAGGTGCGGGCATTGAGTTGTTTACAGGAAACCCTCCGCCATGAGGGAATGAGCCCGTGTTGAATGATTAAAGCTGCAAACCGCAAGAAGTTCGCCTCCCAAGTCAGAATTCTCCCAACCCGGGGAGACCAGCCCCCTTGCAATAACAAGCTGGGCCAGGGGAGGCCCTGGAGGCTGCGCAGGTGTAGCGCGCAATTAGTACAGGGTAATTAGGGGCGCTACTGCTGGGGTCGGCCCGGCCCCCAGATGCAAGGGGAGGGCGATCCACCGGGAGACGAGACGCAGCGTGCGCCCCGGGAGGGAGAGCACCGCTCCGGGTGGGATGGGGTAACTGATGCTGCAACCAAAGAGCAGGGTACCACAGACCCCTGTGCCAGGGACTCAGGACACCCCAGGACTAGAGGCAGGGTCAGAAAAGGCACAGGAGCTGAAGTCCTCGCTGTCGGGGTCCCTGAGTGAGGAAAGGGCGCTGGCAGGAGGGCACAGCCTACCTAGGAGAGCAGAGCACGTCTGGGAGCTCCTGGCCCTCAGCCCCGGGGCAGCAACCAACTCCCCCACGCACCAAGACCCAGGGCCTTGTTAGGAGGGGGCGCCGACAGGTGTCAGCCCCCCGCACGTCCCGCCCTCCGTATCCTCAAGCTTGGGGTCCAGAGGGCAGTCAGCTCAGACCCTGACCTTCCCCCGTCAGCCTGCCTGGGGTCCCGCAGGCCCTCTCCCAGCAGCCCATCGACCGGCAGGGGGCGCTGCTAGACCTGCAGAGGCCCAGCCCCACCCCCACGAGCCACAGGAGCCGGAATTAGCCGGCCACGCCGACCACGGGGAGAACCGCAGGCCCCAGGTGGTTCTGTGGAGCCCACCTGCCCGCCGCTGACTGGACTAGGCACGGACACCTGACCAAAGAGAGCCCATTCACAGGCTGACCAGGGACCTCTCAGGGGCGGCCTGGTGAGGGCAGAGCCAATCAGATGCCTCCCTGGGCCCGGGATCCCAAACAGACCCAGAGAGACGCCTGGGGCCTGGCAGCCGCGTCTGAATTGAAAGAAGAGGGGCGGGCAGAGGCTGCGGGCGGTGGAGAGGGCACGGCAGGGAGGCCTGGGCCCAGCCGCTGCCGGACCCAGCTTGGGCTTGCCCAGACCCACGTTGTACCCATGGCCCCTGCCCTTCGTGCCTTCCACCCGTACACCCACTCGAATTAGCCAGGGCGCTTCAGCGCCCCACCCCCTGCCCCAAGCATTAACGTTGGTGAAATGTGGTGAACTTGTTTTTCACTCCGATGTGTGTTTAGGTGAATTTACCACCATCACAATAATTTTCCTCACTTGGACACCCATGCTCATAGCAGCATTATCCACAGTAGCCAAATGGTGGGGAAAAAACAATTGTCCATCAACAGATGAATGGTTAAATAAAATGTGGTATATTCATAGAATGGAATAATATTCAGCCTTGAAAAGGAAGAATTTTGTCACATATTACAACATGGATGGACCTTGAGGACACTGTGCTGAGTGAGGCCGAGGAATGAAATCTGGGTACTTCACTCATCTGCAAAAAGAACGCTCAATTGCTGGTGGGACAACGGCTCTCCTGCTGGGCCCCATCCATCCTAGGCCAGGGCCTTCGGAGTCTGGGAGCCAGAGCAACAGGGGGCGAGAGAAGACCTGACTGTAGGGGGCTCGGCGGGCTCGGCTGCATGTGGCTCTCTGGAAAGAAGCCTCCCAGCACGGCGTGATCCCCCAGCTCGGAGCAGGGGGTTGAGGGGTGTGTTGATCACGTTGGCCACGCGGACTGCTTTTCCAGAGTCCTGAGTCTGCCCAAGACAGCTGCTGATGGGCATGGTCTCCCTGTACACAGGGAGCGCCAACCCCATCCACCATTCTTAAGGTTCCTGAGGGCCTGCTCTGTGCCAGGGGAGAAAATGGCATCCTGACCATCCCCTAGTCACAGTGGCTTCACTGGGCAGGGGCATGGAGTGGGGGTGGGGGAAGAGAGGAGGGGAAACTCAGAAAGATTAAGTGACATGCCCAAGGTCACACAGCTGGTAGCATCAGAGCCATGGCTGGAAACCAGTCACCCTGACTGCAAAACTCATACTTTCCTAAAACTTTGCTTCCCAACCAGAAGAGTGAATGTGTGTGCTTGGTGGGGGGACAGTGGAAGTGGGTGGGAGACGAGGCACAGGGTAGACAGGATCCGTCTCTAGAGCATCAGGCTTACTCAGACATTTGGGGTGGGAGGTGGGGAATTGAGTGAATGCAAAAAAACCTAACATTTTTATCGTTCAAACATCCCAGTATTAAAGGGACAGAGTACAACACTCATGTGGAGTTTTCAATAAACCAAGGGGTTTTGCACCGGCAGTGGGCCCCATCATCTGAGTTTATTGGCCTTCACAATTAAGGAAACGGTGGTGGAAAAGTTTGAGAAGGTTGTGCTCCACCTGCCACTTTTGGGAGAAAGCTCCACCCTGTTTTCTGGCATGCTTTGTGATGACTTGCCAAACAGGATGGGTCTCCTGGAGCAGATCGGCAAGGTGCCACTTGTAGCTGCCTCCCGAGTCCCCCAGGTTGGCAACATGAATGTCAGTCCCTCCACCCAGAGTCCTGCTACTCTGTTATCTCTGAGTCACAGAGCAGTGTGGGAGGGAGGCAGGCAGGGCAGGGTGCTGTGTGCCCACTTGACCGAAGGCAGAGCTGCAGGCTACAGAGGCCAGGGACCCACACAGCACAGAAGGAAAGGTGGAGAGGGGTTAAGGAGCCAGGCAGGGGCACTGTGGCCCCATCTCCTCGTGCTCCTCTGGGCTTGACCCTGATTCCAGCTGCCCAGCCATTTGCCAGGCAGCTTCTCTCACCAGTCCCCATGGTGTGAGGGGGGCTCAGAGAGAGGGACAGCTATGCTCTGAGTCCCTGGAGGCTGGGATGCCTCGAGGTGACAGAGGCCAGGGGGGAAAGTCTGTGTGTGCCTCCCAGGCTGGGTCACTGCAGCCTCTGTCAGTCTGTCTGACACCCAGTGGGCTCAGCCACCCAGGGATAAGGGGGCCCAGGAGGTGCTCCTGAGAACATAGGCCTGGCAGATGCTCTCTGTGCTCAGGGGCTCTGGGCCCACAAGGGGAGTCTGAGCAGGTGGGGCTGCCACTCTCCTCCTTTCAACAGGAGCCTCTTGACTCTAACAAGGGATTTTGTTGTTACGGAGCTTCTGAGTTGGATTTCTTGTGGAGAGGGATTCTGCTACTAAAAGACATTTGGGGTCCCACCCCCACCCCACTCCCAAGAGGTGTTGAGTCATGAACCCCTGGGCCCTCACTGTTCCTCGTTGGGCCTCACTGGGGACGACACCCTGAGAGAGCTAGAAGAGCTTTGCACTGAGTCAAACAGACCCAGCAGAAAACCCAAAGTAATCGCAGCTTAGACAAGGGGAAAGTTTTCTTTCCTACTCAAGATGCGTGGAGGTGGCCAAGGTTTGTGTGGCAAGCAGTGTCCCAGTGTCAGGAGCCTGGGCTCCTTCTATACTGTGGCTCTGCCATGTGTAGTTTTAATTTCCAAGATCACCTCGTGGTACAAGATGGCTACTGAAGCTCCTGCCATTATATCTGCATTACAGCCAGAGGGAAGGAGAAAGGGCAGTAGGGTGGGCCTTGTCCTTTTAAGGACGTTTCCTGCTATCAAACACTCTATTTACACCCAGGCCAAAACTTAGTCACAGGGCTACATCTAAGTGGGAGGCTGGGAACCTTGATTCCAAGCAGGAAAAGCCCAGATAAAATATCAGGGGCTCTATTCCCTGAGCCACACTGGAGGTGATGGGGGCAGGGACAGGACAGTGAGCAGTCTTTGCTACAGCCTTGAGGAGCTGCGTGCCCTTGGTTGGGCACGTCCCTTCCCCGCTGAGCAGCTGCCTGCACCTGTGAAACGGGGATATAGGAGCCCCAGCTCCAAGGCCCCTCCATGCCCTGGTGTTTTGTGACTCTAGCAGGGAGCCCAGGGAGGCCCAAACCAGGGATAGAAGCTGTTCTTGTTTAAAAGTTGCTTGTTCCAACGTTTTCCGAGTCATCTAAGACCCAATTACTGATTTTCAGCCTGCAAACTGACTGGCCCAGCCTGGAGGGTTGTTAGGGGATGAGCTGGAATGCGCCTGGAGTCCATGCGACAGGGAAGGGCAATGGCCCTGCAGACAGACAGGGCTGGGAGGATGGGGTGCGGGCTGGGAGGGGACGGCCCCACCCTCCTGAGACAGGAGGGAGCTGAGGGCACAGCAGCCGCTGTCGGTGTTGGGGAGAGAGGACCAAAATTGGGTTTGCATGCTATGGGTGAGGGGCAGGAACAGGCTGTCACCACCAGGAGCTGAGATGGCTCTCTGGGGACAAGGCGGGGAGGAAAGGGACAGTGTGCTGCTTTTCCTCATAAGCCCTTCGACGGATTACTGTTTTCCTAAATGCATCCCATGTGCTACCCCGATAAAATACACAGGAGCTCTGAAGCCACTGCAGTAATGAAGCGCTGTGTGGCTGGCTGGGGTGGGGGGCCAGCGCACCCCTGTGGTGTGAGGAGAGCCATGGCTCCTGGGAGACCCCACTTGGCATTCTCACACCACTGAGGGGCTGGAGGGGAGACCTGGGTGGCCTAGCAGGAAGGTGCAGGGGCCCCCGGGAAGAGTAGGGGCTCTGCTATGTCCCAGGCCTGGGGGAGCAGGTGGCGTGGAGGTGTGAGAAATACCTGCAGAAGAGACAGATGGGTGGGAAGGGGGAGCTGGCTGGTTGGGGCACAGTGTGAACAAGGCATGGGGTATGGAAACCTTGGCTGGCAGGCAACAGGGACTAAGCTGTGTGAGGTTTGCAGGGGTGTGCTGTGGGGGGCGGGGGGCGGCCCAGGGGTCAGGTGGAGTTGAATGTGACCTCTGAGATACTGTGGAGAAATGGGCGCTGGCTGAGTTCTGCATTTGAGTCCACCCATCACCCCCAGGGGCCTGCAATGCCTACCCAGCCTTCTAAGATGGGTGGGAGAGCTGGGTCCCAAACCCCAGCCCCACAGTGGACTTGGGTTTTGTAGAAGGTTCCAGATGCTTAACTACCAGCTTCCAGCCCCACACCTTTGAAGTTCTTGGTGCTAGTCAAGGTCTTGGCTCTGCATTCCCAAGGCCACCAGGTTAATTCAGGGAGGGCCAGGCAGTGGGCCTGGGGCAGGCCACACCCCAGGCTGGCACTCCCCAGAGTCATCTTTGGCACAGCCCTCAAGAGGTGCGGTTGTTCCCATTCCACAGACTGGAGCCTGGGGCCCTGGGATGTGTGGTGCAAGGGCTTTGCTCAGTCCCCAGTCCTGTGTGACATAGACCACCAGGTCCGAGGGTGGGACTGGGTGGGGGCGCCCAGCTTGCCAAGCCTGCTCCTGGGGATTTCCGCACAGCCTGAGGGGTGGGGTGGGGTGGAGATGTCTGGTTACATCAGTCCCACAGCCCCCGAGCCATGCAGGCCACCAGGAGTGAACTGGGAGCTGCAGATGAGGCCCACCCCTGGGTCACCAGGGCCCCTCCGCCCTCAGCCCAGAGCCCAGCGGCCTCCCTGAGCAGTGGCTTGGGCCAAGCCTGCCAGGCGTCCCCAGGAGACTGCCCCTGCTCTGAGAAGGGTGGGCACAGGCGAGCTCTGTGGGGCCTAATTTTCCTCATCCATAGATGACTCCTTCCTGGTGACCCCACAGGGCAGTGACAGGAGCCTCCAGGATGGGATTCGGCCCCCACAGGTGGCAGGACTCACATAGCCAGGGTGACAGGCTGGGAGATTCCGGAGTAGCTGCAAGATCCATGGGGAAGATGCCCCACGGCTCCAGGCCTTGCTCTGGGACTGCAGTCCTGGGGATGGACTGAGGGGCAGCTAGGGCCTCGGGAAGGACAGGCTGGGGTTCCCCGCACCCCCCATGGGCCCCAGCTCTGGGCAGCGTTCTTGGCCCAGAGTTCTTGCTCCGGGGTTCTGGAGTTTGGGACCCCAGGAGCTGGGTTTTGAGGTGCTGGTTTCTAGCGTCTGGCTCTGCAGCCCTCTAGCAACCTGGGAAAGAGATGAACGGAGTGGGAGGAGGGCACAGTCCCCAAAGTCCAGTAGAACCGAGGCGCTCAGGCAGCTGGCAGGTGGGAGTCAGAAGCTCCTCGTTTCAGAGAAGTGGGGTCTGAGGCCCAGGCCTTTGGAGATGGCCAGGAGTCTGTGCCAGAGCACCTCGGCTCTGGGCGGAGGTGAGGATGCCCAGCTTCGGCTCACGACGCCCACTCCCCTCCTCCACTGGCTGGGGGGGCTGAGTCCAGCCTCTCTGGCCTGGGAGCAGGGGGCCTTCCTTTCCTAGGGGGCCCCAGGCTGCTGTGCCCCTTCCCCGGGAGCTGGCTGCTCCCCACCCCGATCCTGTCTCCTCCTCCGGAGGGACTGACTCCTGCCCAGACGCCCACTGCCTGCCAGGCCTGCTGGGAGCGCACAGGCCTGACCCCGCCCCCGCCCTCAAAGCTTCCTCTCGATTCTGGGCCGCCTGCCTGGAAGAAACTGAGGGCAGAGGGGCTCAGGGACGCCTCCTCGCTGGCCCCGCCCCTGAGGGCTGCAGGCTTTCTCCAGGGGTCTCCCTGGGGCTGCCAGGCCTGGAGTCATAGGATGGGGGGAGGCTGGCGGGGGTCCCAGCCGGAGGCCTGGCTGGGAGGGGGACCAGGGCCCCTCCTAGCGCTCCCTCCTGACACCCCGCACAGTGCTCCGCAGCCCACACCCAGGCGGGGAGGAGCCCTGGGGCCCAGAGGGGTTGGAGGGCTGCCTAGGAGGCCCTCACTGCCCGGGGAGGCCGCGGGCTGGGCCCTCGGCCCCTGCAGCTCCGCCTCAGGCTGCTCTGCCGGCAGCGTCTACATTCAGAAGGAAGGAGACCAAAAATGAGAGGTTGGGCCATTTTGTTCTGCCTGCGTGGAATTGTCCACAGGTGGTGTGTGTGTCAGCACAGTGTCTAAGCGTATGCCTGTGTGTGGGCTGAGTGTGTTGAGTGACAATCGCATAGGGGTGTATGTGTGCGTACGTGGTGGGGGTGGGGGGTGGCTGGGAGGTTTCCTTAAGTGATAAGACTCTCTCTCACACACGTGGCTTTTGGGATATCCAGGGCAGACTTCCTGCCCCAAGCATCCCCCTGGCCCCCATCAGCTGGTCTGAAATCCCTCCGTTTGAGCATCTCCAGGCGGAGCCACACATCCCCTGAGGTGGAGGACCCCACCTGAGCCTGGAAAACAGCTCCTCCGGCAGAGCCCTGTGTTCGCCACTCAGCCTGAGTAGCAGTTTCCTCACCTGTAAGTCGGGGGGGTCACCTGCTCCCACCTCACAGGAATTCACAGCCCACCTGCTGCACGGATGGCACCAAGCTGGCCTACCAGTGCCTCATGTGAGGCCCTTGTGGTTGGGGAGGCTCCTCTCTCTCACCCTGTTGCTCCTTCCTTGGGAAGTGCACCCCCAGCAGGGGGGGGTGTCGCTCTGTCCTGCCAGGGTGACTGTCACTAGCTGGAGAAGGAGGGAGAGGGTTTCCTTGCCAGGATGTGTCCCCTCCCAAGGTGTCCCTGTGTCTGTTACTTTGCGCCCCCTCTCCCCTCCTTCCCTTTTGTGCCTTCCTTCTCAGTCCCTGTGAGCCACTGGAGGCCTGGCCCCTGTCTGCCTCTCTAAGCTGTGTCCCAGTGTCAGGGCAGTGATCAGGGCTCCCCACTGGACGGACAGATGGAGGACCCCACCCAGCACCCAGCACCCAGCTGTATCAGCCCACTCACGTTCACCCGCTCCTGTTCTGACACTCACCCAAGAGGCAAGGAAGCGGAGGCCCGAGGGGAAGGCCTTGCCCAGGGCCCAGGCTGCATCTGATGTCCCCGCGCCTGAGCGCTTCGCCTTCCTGCCTCCTTGCGGCACACGGAGGGCTCCTTCTTCCTTAAACAGCACAAGGACTGCATTTGTGGCTGCATTGGTATGGAGACGAGTATAATAATCATATATATGAAAACATTTTCTTTACCCTAACGTGAAGAAGAAAATTCTCTGATTTTAAACAATATTGAAATATTTTATGGGGCCCTGAAAGTTCTGTGGCCTCAGGTACTATGTTCACTCTGTCTCAAGAGAGTCAGCCTGGCAGGGTCCTTGCATCCCAAGCTGACCTACTGGGCTTTGAACTGGGGTCTTCTGTAACACCCCCCACACCGCCCCCCAGTACCTCCACCACTCCCCGCGGCTGCCACTCTGGGGAAGGACCGCGTGAACTGTTGCTGATTTTTGGCCTTTCTTAATAGCCATCCTGTGGCTCTGGACATCTTGTTTCTGACTGCTTATAACAACAATAATAAAGAATAACAAGAGTCCTCACAAAGCCCCTGACGTTCTTCAAGCCCTTTCACCTCTGGTGTCTGACCCCCCCAACAATCCAGGGAAGGGCAAGAATAACCACTGTCACCCCCACTTTACAGCTGGGACAACAAGGACACAGCGCACCCAGCTACTAGGGGCAGAGACCCAGGCTCTGTGCTTATCCTCCCCCTGCAGTCTAGGGGAGCTCGCGGCAAGTGGGGGCGTGGCTTGGAACTGAACCTGGAGGTGGGAAGCACTAGGTAAGGTGGGAATATTGGAGTTCAAAGGGCAGGAGCGTGCAGATGAAGGGGAGGAGTGGGGTGGTGGAAGCAGGCGAGGGAGAGACACCTTCTGGATGCCCACAGGAGAGGAGGAGCCCGCAGCAGCCTTCTAGAAGGATCTGAACTGGGGCAGGGGGAGTTAAAAGGGACCCAGGAGATATCTGGGGGGCACAACCACAGGGAACATGGAGGCAAATGGGAGGGAGTGCCAGAGATGTTTCCTAGATGTTAGCGTTCAGAGGATCCGGCAGCTGGACAAACCACAGCGCATGTGGGTGATTAAACAATGACAACAGCACAGCGGAAGCTTTCTCAACCCAGTTGCACTTACTCTGCACTGAGCCACTGCACGCCCTCTGTAAAGCACATGGGCAGAAAATTAAAGGATGCTACCAACCCTTTCCAAAACTTACCCATCCTTGCCAGTGAAGTGGGTACACTTCCAAGGAGCTCCTGGAACCTTGAAGCCCCTCCTCCCAGCCCAGCGTGGGCTGGGACCCCCTCAGAGGGGCTGCCTCCCGCTCTGCCTCTCTCAGAGTCTCCAGCCAGCTTCCCCAGCCTCTCTGTACCTACTGGGGAGGTCAATGTGGGTCCTTTAATTGAACAGTACACAGAACTCTGAAATGTGAGTGCAAACAGTCACTGTGTCTATGAACATGTTTTGAAAAGATTTGTTAGAAGCAATTTAGTTTGAAAAATTGCTATTGATACAGGTATAGGTGCCATAATTATAAAGACTGGGAGGAAAATGTAAAATCTTAGAAGGATCCTGCCCAGAAATCTTCTTCCAAGCTCCCCTCTGGGCCTGTGCACAGGGCTGCTCAGCACAACAGCTGGGCTCCCAGCAGGGCCAGCCCCCAAACGGAAGTCAGTCCTTTTATAACCTAATCTCAGAAGGGCCGATCCTATCACTTCAGCTCTTCTCTGGTTGCTAGAAGTCATTACTTACAGGCCACACCAAAGGGGCGGGGATCATCCCAGGAGGGATCCTGGGGGCCTTGGTGGCTGCTTACCCCAACCTCCCAGGGACGCCCAAGGAGTTGGGTAAGAAAGGGCTCTTCTCCCTAGGATCACACATACTCATAATAGCACTGACTCTGGGCCAGTGATGCCGGGGTTCTTGTTTGCAGAGTCGAAGAATGAACTTAGCAAACAGTCAATAGTAGGAGAGCCAGGGAGACTTTTATTAAGAGATACAGTGAGAGGACAGACAGAGCTCCTGGCGCGTTGTCTAGGGCATTTATAGGCAGTTGAGGACTTTTGGGAACTGAGGGCTTAGGGGGTGGACTTGTACCAACCACCCTGCCCCCAGGGTGGGCTGGGTTGTCCTCTGTTTGCTAGGGCTGTTCACAGTGAAGTCATGGGTTATGCTGAGATACCCTTGGGGAACACTCAAACATTCCAGGCCAGGTTGCTCCTGGCCTTTTGACGTTTGATCTCACTGAAGATGTCTATACTCCTAGTCTGGTATCTTTACCCAGGAGAATTAGTGTGACCCTGACTTTGCATAATGCTGAACACAGAGTTTTGATAGGGACTTTACATTGTTACATTGCTTTCACTGTAAATATCCTGCCTTGCTTTTTCAGGAGGCCCTCACCCTACTCTGTCTAAGCCCATGGTCCCTGTCTCACCAGGCACCATTCCAAGAACCTTATATGGACCCCTTCCTACCACCCTACCATTTCATGGGGCACAGACTGAAAGTTATTTGTTCTCAAATCCCACAGCTAATGAGAGCTGGAGCCGGCTGGGATCCAAAGGCGCGCGGGCTTGAGCCCACAGAGGAAGTTTGCTTGGGCGTGGCATGGCATGGCCTGGAGTGGAGCCTGCAAGATGTCAGCAGTAAGCCCCTGGGGGGAGCCACTATTTGGGTCTGTAGTTTAGGAAGCCATGGGGTCAGAACTGGCACTCTGGGTGCCCTCAGCCAGGGGTGGGCTGGGGAGGTCACCACCCGGAAGAGGGGGTGCAGCCAGGACTGAGGAGGACTGTCCCAGGAGGGCCAGGAGGAGACACTGTGGCCTCCCCCTCAGTGGAGTGGTTGGGGAGGTGGACCGGAAGGCGGAGTGAGGGCAGGGGGCCACCCCTGGGAGCAGTCTGCCTGTGGAAAGGCAGAAGGGGCAGCACTGCTGATGAGGGGGAGTGGGGACAAGCGCTGAGGAGGGGGTTGGATACTCTGTTTGGAGTGGGTAAGTGGGGGGTGTCACCCGGGGGCCTGGCTCCGGCCACACCCTTGGCCTTCCCACAGGCCTGCTGCCCCAGACCCCGCCCAGGCTGACTCTCCGGGATGTGGCCTCCAGGTCCCCAGCCCAGAGGCAAGGAGTCAGGAGTGTGTCACAGGTGCCCCACCCAGAGGCGGTGCCCCCTCCCCACCGGTCCAACCCCTTTGCCTGGCATCCTGCTGGCTGTCCTCTGCCCTCAGTCCCTACTGCTCTGGGAGTTGGAGCTTTTCATGCAGCAACCCATCCCCTTAACCTGAGCTGTCCCAGTGCCAGGCACTCCCCCACCAGGAAGCCCATTGGCGAATCTTAGACCGTTTGAGCATGCAGATGGGGGATTTGTGCAGCTGCCAGAATCCACCCCCACACCGCAGCCCAGTCCCCCCGCCCATACTTGGTTTCTCTCTAGAACCAGCTTATGGGCGCTCACCCGGCGCCACAGGCGCTGCAAGGCTGGTCCCCCTCTCCAGCGGCCCTTCTAGCCCTTCCTGACTGGCCTCAAATTCTCCCCAGCCAACGCTGGACGACATCCTTGCTGCTCCTTGATTCCCTCTCCCGGCGAGGCCTCCACCGACCCGTGGGCAGATGGAATCCCGTGTGCTGGGCTCTCACAACGGACTTTGCCCACGGTAGGCCTGGCCTTCCCTTTGTAGCCCCTGGATCCTGGCCCACCTCTGCGCCTTTGCCCAAGCTGGTCCCCTGCCCACCATGCAACCCTCCTTTCTCCAAACGTCCAGATCTTTCCCATCCTTCAAGGCTCAGCCCAATGCCTGCTTGCTGAGCTGGAAAAAGTGAACTGGTCTCTCTGGGCCTCAGTTTCCCCAACTGTAACATGAAGCAGAACAGTCCTGTGTCGGGGGCGGTTGGGGGGCGCTGGGAGCACAAGACGGCCAGGAGGGGAGCCAGGCGCCCCTGGGCCTCAGGCCCTCCTGGCCCATCCCCCAAGCCACGATGCCCCTCATCCCGGCCGGGTGCTGTCTAAGCCTTGCCAGGGGGTGACGCGCTGCTGCAGCCCAGCCTGGCCCCCCGCACCAGCCAAGGCCCCAGACACACGGCCCGAGAGGCCCCGCGAGAGAACATCTGCGCGGACCTGCCGGGAAAGGAGGGCGGGGCGAGATCCGAGCGGCCTGGCCCCGCCCCTCCCTCGCCGCCTGGGCGGGGCTGGGGCGGGGCGGCCGCTTCCGGGGGCTCCCCCTGGGCGGTCGGCGGCTCGGGAGGGCCTGCCGGGCCCCGCCTGACCTCGGCTTCCGCCTCCGTGAAATGGGGCGATGGCTCCGCCTCCGAGCCTTCCGGGGGGCGTTTTATTGCCCAGCAAGCACTAAAGCAGGCCCTGGAAACCCAGGAGAGACACGTTTCTGTGGCCTGCCCTCCAGCCCCAGCGATGCCCCGCCGCTGCCGGAGCCGCCTGGGGAGCTCAGGGCCGCGACCTCGGGAGGCGCCAGCATCATTACCCCTTTTTTCAGCCGCGGAAAGGGAGGCACAGGGGTTCTCAGTGGCCTCCCAGGTCTCAGCAGGTGGGGTGCAGTCGAGGTTTAAACCCGAACCTCAATGTCCTCATCCAGCCGCCGGCCCAGGTTTTTTCTAGTTTTTATTCCTCGGTAAGGACGCGCCGCCATCGTGTCACCTGCCCCAGCCCGGCCTGGGGGCAGCACCGCGTACCGCCACGCAGCCGGGTCCCAGCGGCTCGCTCCCACTCCCCCGGGGCTTGCGGGGGGTGGCCCCGCGCGTGGACGCGGTCTGCGGCCTTCGGGCTCTGCGCCCCCGGGGACCCCCGGTGAGCGGCCCCCAGCCCGCTGTTCCGCCTGAGATGAGGGAGAACTGCGAGTTCTGCCCGCGCCTGATGGGGGCGCCCAATCCGATGTCCGCTCGCGCGTGGCCTCGCCTCGCAGACTCCCCCGCAGCCGAGCTCCCCACTCCGCGCGCGCTCGAGCTCCCCGTTTGCCCCAGCCGACCCAGGCCTTGGGCGGGGAGGGATTGTCGGCCCGTTTTGTGCGTGGCAATGGGCTTGGGAAGTGCCTTGGCCAGGGATCGGACTCTTCCCGCGCCCTCCCTGTGCACGTGGACGCCCTCCTCGCTTTGGAGGCTCACCCCGCCTAGCAAGCCGCCTCTCCACCTCGTGACCCAGCCCCAAGCCCTGGGGTAGGGTCCTCTGTTCGGGGGCCCCGGGATGCCCCCTGGGGAGGGCACACACGTGTCCTCTTCTTCCTCCAGCTCTGCAGCCCTGCTGCCTGGGCTGGACCACCATAGGGCCTGGAGGAAGGCCATCCAGCAGCCCCCGTGTTCCCGCCTGCAGAGGCCGGGGGCCTAGTGACTCGGAGCTCTCCTGGGGCCTGAGGGCCGTTCCCACCTCTCTGAGTTCTGCCTGAGGGGGTCCTCTGCCCAGCTTTCACCTTCTCCTTTTTCCGGCAAGGGCACCCTGGTTTTCCGGGGGTACCTGCACCCACCACTCTGCAGGCAGATGGTATGGTGGGTGGCACCCCATCCTACTAGCTGTAGGTCTGGAATTCCCCATCTGGAGAAGGGCACTCAGCCCAGCAGGTAGGGAGGGGGCTGGCACTGTCAGGGCCGCCTCAGACAGGATCTCATCCAAGGTGGTAGAAAAGTGAGGTTGAGAGGCAAAAAACATGGTCCCAGTGCTACAGAGCCCTGGGTTCAGGCGGCTCTGTGCCTGGGACCACACTGGACCTGCCTGCTTGGCTTTTTGGCTTCAGGCTGTTTGCAGTGGTCAAGTCCCCACAGACTCTGAGCACCCTCCGGACTAAGATCAGCTGTTCCCCCGAAGCCAGAGAGGTGGGTGGGTGTTGCTGTCCCCTCCTCTATTCATTCGCTCAGCACCTGCTCTCCTAGACAGCACTGGGGAGTGTCCTGAACGACCCGCAGAGCCCCGCCCCATCGGGCTCACCGCCTGAGACCCAGGAGGGATCTGTGCCACAGCGCTGTGGGGAGGGGGCAAGGTACAGGGAGAGTCCCTGAGGAGGAGACACTGACTGACTTGTAGGGTGAGTTGGGACCTGACTAGTGAAGGGGCCGGAGGCTGAGCAAAAGAAAGTGCTCCGAGCAGTTGGCTTGGAGACTGGAAAGGACTCCCAACTCCTTTGAAGAAACAATGGGGTGGGGGCGGGGAGCAGAGCTGCCGTGGAGCATTGTGGGCCCCACGCAGGCCTTTGGACTGCAGCCCAGCAGCCCGGAGGAACCACGGATGGATTTTAAGCGGGGGTGTATATTAGGATTTAGTGGATCCCTCTGGCCTCAGTGCCTCCCAGGGTTCTGCCAGCTTGGGAAGAAAAGAATCCCTTGCCCCATCATGCAAGAGGCCGATGTTGCCCCCTCACCCTGGTGTGGCCTGGTGGGGGGAGGAGGAACCGGTGAGGGAGACTGGTGGGATGCCCGTTTTTGCAGTAGGATCACGGCCGTGCTGGGCTGGATGGGACAAAGAGCTCGGTTCTATCTGCACCACTTGGAGAAGGCTTTCCAGGAGAGCCCCCAGGCTGCAGATGAGTAGGAATAATCAGGGAGGCAGGCCAGGAGGCGGGCGGGGAGCAGGGGGGGAGGGCCAGAGAGAGGGAACAGCATGTGAAGAGGCACAGAGGCAGGACAGAGCACAGTGCCCAGGAAAGCCCTCAATCAGAACTAGAGTGTGAAGAATTTGGGGTCTGTCTGTCCATCTGTCGGAGTCTCTCTGAGGCTGCTAAAGTGCAGGCAAGGAGCAGAGAGACAGGCCCCCACATTTGGGTGGACTGGTAGTTAAAAAGAGGGTGGGGAGGGGAGGGGGCAGGGAAGGCCGCATCAAACCCAAGCTGTCAGGTGGTGGAGGGTTAGCTGGTAGATGGAGGGGAAGTTAAAAATGGAGAATAAACCTTGTGTGTATCTCTGCTTCCTCTGGAAACTTCTTAAAACTGATGGCAAAGAATAAAAAAGGCATAAACGCAAGAGAGAGAAGATGGCTGGATGGGAGGTCCAGCCCATTTTAGGAAGATAGAAACTGACGGGACTCAGCAGAGAGAAGGGAGCAGCCAACATGTGCCCCCTAGGATGCTGGAGAAAAGCACCCATGTGCTGGCAGCAACTGATGGGACTAGGTCTGGGCACTGTGCTAGGGCCAGTGTGGGGTCAAATGATAACCTGTGTGGCAGGCAGCTCCTAAGGTAGCCCCAACAATTTCCTGCCCCCAGGATGTTAATGCCCTGTGTCACCCTTCCACTCGAGTGTAGGCAGCATCTGTGACTTGCTTCCACCTAATAGAATACTATGCAGGTGATGGGATGTCCCACCTCTGTCTAAGCAGAGTGGCCTGAGGGCTCCTTGCTGGCTGGATGCAGTAAGCAGCCGTACTGGGGAAGCCCATGTGGCAAGAGACTGTGGGTGGCCCCCAGCTGACAGTCAGCAAGAAGCCAGGGCCCTTGGTCACAGCCACAAGGACATAAATTCTGCTGGAAAATGAATTTGGTTGCAGGTTATTCCCCCAGCTGACCTTCCAGATGAGCATTCAGTGGGTGACACCTTAATTGCACAGGTATGGGACCCTGAGCAGAGGACCAGCTCAGCCAGACTCCTAACCCCTGGGAACTGGAAACTAATAAATGAATGTTGTTTTATGCTGCTAAGCCTGTGGTAATTTGTTACACAGCATAGAAAACTAACATACTCCCCAGCTCCCCCAGAGGTGCTCAGCCAGCGACCGCAGCTTCCCAGCCCCTCCTGCCCTGCTCCAGAATGACAGGAACCAAACATGGAGCCCCAGGTAGAAGACTGGTGAGATCGTCTATGGAGAGCCAATGGCATCACCCAGCAGAAGATTCCTGAGCACCCACTGTCTGTCCCTTGCTGGAGAGGCCATGTGACTTGCTCCAGTGAATGGAAGGGTGGAAGTGACATGTTGCATTTCTGAGTGAAAACTTGAAGTCATCCTGTGGCCCCACCTTTCCTCTTCTTCTCTGCCACAAGAGTAAGTCCCGGATGGAGGCAGGCCCTTCATCCTAGGTCCCAGAATGAAGAGGACATGTGGGTCAGAGCTGCAGTGACCTGTAGACACCACATAACATGAGTGAGAGACAAACCTTTGCTGTTGTGTGCCCATGAGATTTGGGGGCTGTTTGTTACTGCAGTATAACTTAGCAGAGCTGACTGATACACCCAACAGAAAAGCTGGCTGGATGCCTGATAACCCAACAGGGAACCCTTCTGCATGTAGAGGTTCCAGATGGCTTGTCTGCACTCCACCGTAGTGTGAGTGGCAGCCAAGGATTGCCAGGGTGGTCTCTAGCAAAATGAGGGAGGAAGCCAGGCATTAGAGAAAAACCCCCCAGTAGGAAGGACAGAGGCCAAATGAAGGGAGGAAAGGCAGTGGGATGAAAAGAGAGGATTCAGGGAACAGAAGATGTCAAAATAAATCCTAATTACTTAGAAAGGACATTAACCCAGAATGATATTTGTTTTAGTGGCACAAAGAGCTTGTGGAAATTTAAAAGATGGCTGTCAAAATAAAGGGTGGAGGAAAAAGGGAAATCCCCTAAAGAGTAGCCCTAAATGACAAAGAAAAAGTTAAAAAGACAATAAAATTCAAGGACGATCCTGGGAGTGCTAAAGTGTAAGTCCAAGAGACCTAGAGGGAGAGGCCTGTGGGGCACGTCTCCAAGATGCAGAGGCCCACCCTGCACAACAGCCTCAAACAGACCTACCACAAGCACAGCACGGTGATTTGGCAGAGTCCAGAGAGGTTGTGGGCTTCTCTGCAGCAATGGAAGCTAGAAAGCAATGGCGAAATGCCTTCAAAATGTTGGTGCAATGATTTTCAACTTGAGATTCCATACTTAGCCTAGGTATACCTATCACCGGGCATGAGGTTGGAGGAAGACCTTTTCAGGGGTGCAAGGATTATGCACATCAATCTTCCATGCATCGCTTCTCAGGTAGATGCTGGAGGATGTTCTCTAGCAAAATGAGGGAGGAAGCCATGAAAGAGAAAGACATGGGATCCAGGAGACAGGATCCAGCCAAGAGAGATGCAAAGAGGAAACCCAGGTCAACAGTAGCCGTGCTGCAGGCCCAGGCAGCGGCCAGGATGGATTGTTGCAGGAGGGCGGCTTCTAGGAGGGAATTCAGTGGGGCAGTGGTCAGGACAGATTCTACGATGCAGAGGAAATAGTACTGAGGGACTGTTGGGGCCATGGGGAGACCTAGAGATGTGTACAAAGAAGGCTGTTAGTTATCTATTGCCACATAGCAAATTGCCACACATTTACCTTACAGTTCCTATGAGCCAGAGGTCTGGACATGACTTATCTGGGTCCTCTGCTTAGGATCTCACAGGGCAACATTCAAGTGCTTGCTGGGACGGCAGTCACAGCTGAGGCTCGCCTGGGGAAGGATCCACTTTCAAGCTCGCCAAAGTTGTTGAGGAAATCCAGTTCCTTGCTATGTAGGACTGAGGGCTTCAGCTTCTTGCTGACTACTGACCAGTGGCTGCCTTCAGTTCCCAGAGGCCATCTGCGGGCCCCTCAACAGAGCAGCCTGCAACGTGACAGCTTGCTTCTTCCAAGCCAATAAGTGAGCAAGAGACTCCAGCAGGACGGGCGCTGCCATTTTACATCACGTGGTGACATATATCCTTTGCCATTTCTGTTAGTTAGAATGAGTCATAGGTCATGCTCCAACTCAGGGGAGGGGACGCAGAAGGGTGCACACACCAGGTGGCGGGGATCTTTGGGAGCCACTTTTGAAGCAGCCTAAACAAAGCTAATTATGAACTTCATGAAACACTAAAAGATAAACCGAAAGGAAATAAAACCATAGTGCATTACTTGGCTCAGCAGCAAACAATGTTTCTATAATCATTATGCTGAAACAAGTAAATATTGGTTTAAGCAAAAATTGTCCCACACTGGTACTGGGAGGTGACCCGGGAGGGCATGGTGAGTGGGTATGCTGCAGGAGGCTAAGAAAGCTAAATCATTGGCATCCATAAAAGGAAGTCAATAGATAAGGGCTCAAATGGGTAAATCAAGGAACAGCAGTGCAAACGTGTTATTTATAACCATGGAGATAAAATCCAGAAGAAGCAGCCAAAAGAGTTGAATATGGTGGTTTCAGGGGTGCGTTGGGAATGGGACAATGGGGGAAGGGCTGCTGCCTCTCACTACAGACCTATCTTTTTAAATTCTGTGTATATCATGCGTGTATACTTTGAACTCTGGCATTACTTAGATAAAAATACACATTAATTAATAGAGAAAGGATCAGGGGGAGGGGAAACTTGCCCAAGAGTGTAGAGTCAAGCCCCAGGGATGCTGAGCCATCACTCTCCTCACCCTGGGGGAAGGGGCTCAGCAGATTCAGGGGGTAATGGTGGGTAGCCTGGGCGCACCCCACTGCTGCATGCCCTGGGAGCACAGTAACCTGAGCTTCCAGGGAGAATGGCACTGCTGGGAAGCCTAGAGCTGAGGGACTGGGAGGCTGGGGGAGATGGTTGGGGGGTGATCGGGGTCCCTCCCGCTGGGTGCAGAAGGGCCCACAGGCTCGGCAGGAGAGGCCCCACCCCAGGGAGCCCCTTCCCCATCTCTCCACAGACATATCAGGGGAAGATTCGGAAGCCTCTGAGGAGGTTTGTTTTGTTTTTAATTCAGTAGATTCTGTATTATTTGTTTTTACCTAAATAATAAACATTTCTGGTAAAAACACTGGGAAGGCACCGCCGTCTTGGAAGAGCGCATCTGAGAGTGGCGGCTGCTCCTGGCTGTCTGGCCGCCCCAGGGCCCTGTCCCCTGCTGGTGTCAGTCTCCCTCCCACACAAAGGCCCCCCGAGCTCTGACCCCATGTCTGTGCCCTGCCGTGTTCACCCAGCCACCTGTCCAGGCACACTTTCCATGTCAAGACCCCCAGAGAGCCTCTTCCTCCTTTTCCAGGCCCCTGTGCCGGAGAACCCCATTTGTGCACCCTGTCCCCAGTGGTGGGTGTTGAAGGTGGCTGTAGGAATTTGCTCTTATTAACTCAGCTGCAGGTGGGACACCTCTGCACACCCTATTTGGCCCTGGGAGTCTGGGTCTGGCCGGGACACTGTCCCAGGCCAGAGTCCCAGGCCCAGCAGTGTGGCCTGAACATCTGAGAAGGGTTGGGGAAAAGGAGGTGGGGCAAAGGAATGGTGGGGAGGTGCAGGGGGATAAAGAGAGTTCTGGGGGTGCCTCAGTGCCTGGCAACCCGTAAGAATGCAGGCTGAGTGTGGGGCTTCCCACCTGCCACTGCAGGGCTGGGCTCTGGCTCAGGCCCAGCCTGGAGCGTGGTGGCCGGACGGCGATGCTGGCTTAGTCGCTCACTCCCTTCATATTCTTCAGAGTGGCCTTGGGCAGCTTGCTTAACCTCCCTGGGCCTCGGTTTCCACACCTGTAAAGCGGATGTGACCCATTGGAGTAGACACAGGAGACAGCAGGGGAGGGCAGAGAGCGGCTGGGCCCTCCCGGAGGGGGGGCAGTGAGACTGGTCTGTGAAGGGAAGTCTTCATAAATGCCAAGGGAAGGAGGTGTGTGCCAGAATTTTGGTCAGAACTGGCCACTCCTGGGGCTCCAGTCCCTCCTGTGGCAGGGCTGGCATGCCTGGTGTCCAAGCTTCAGTTTCCTCAGCCAAATAGTGGAAACGACAGCCCCCAACCCGGAGGGACACAGTTGTCAGGCGTGACCCTGACTTGTCCCCGCCCGCACACCCAGGAGTCCCCGCAGCCCTGGGAGGGGTAAAGCCAAGTCACCCC